TCCTCACACTTAAACGGAACCACGCCCTCGTGGTTAATAGTATTTTGGAATTGGAGTTAATGGTTGAAATGCTCACATGCAATTACTAAGTTATCTCAATACTTACAAGATTCAACGATGAAGATTGAAATAATAGATAACCATAACATGAAAATATGAAATAATGCATAAAATATTCTCAAAATGGTTTTAAGAGTCAAATTGTGAAATACCAAAATAAAAATCATCAACCATCCAAATCATTTTCAAAATAGTAGAGAAAAAGAGACTTAACTAAGGAAGTCAATATTCTCTCAGTAGCCAACTTCAACCAGGACTGTTGGATCAAGAAGCCTCGAAGGTTGCAGAAACCTTGTGTTTTCCCCAGGTGAGACCTCTTCTTCGCTCCCACTGTAAGGTATGCCCTACAATTCTCTCATCTGCAAAAGCAAAGACAACAAACAAAATAAATCTTGCCCCCAAAACTGGTGCGGCAAGCAAAACCTCAAAAACTAACAAATAAAACTATTGAATTTATTTAATTATTTTAGTTATTTGAATGACGGGTTGCCTCCCGTTAAGCGCTTCTTTAACGTCCGTAGCTCGACGCTCACCCACTTTTTCCGCGACTTCCCGATCCGAGATTCATAAAGTTTGGCCCTTCTGACTCTTTTCTGGTGCCGCCTTGTTTGATTTGTTGCTCAGTCAAGGTCCAGGATCCTTGACTCATCCCTGCGGCTTGGTGGCAACACGATAAAAGGAGGAGACTCTAGATAGGTGGGTGGTGGCAGAAGTCTCCTCAGTTGATCCACATCATTGGCCTTCATAGCAAGATTTATTTTTTCCTTATCTTCAACAGGCTGACCATCCATTTGTGGTTTGATGATTACGACCGTGATTTCCCCCATGGATGAGTCTTCAGTGTCACTTACCAGAAGTTCATCCCAACTATTTTGGCTCCAACTATCCTTCGGGCAGACAAAGTCACACCCGTCAAGTAGGGAGTCAAAGAAAGTTTGGTCTAAGTCTTCTGATGAAGCATGATTATCTATAGACGTTATTGGTTCCACTGTGCTAGGTATTTCTTTGTCTATAGATTCCTCCTTAGACTCTTGAACGTTGGAATCTTGGGGGTAGGTAGTGGGCTCTATCTCCTCCAGAACAGGTTCCTCTGGAGGTGTGTCTTCAACACAATTAAGGATATGGTCGTTTATTGCCATAGGCAAAACTTCCTCCTCCTTCTGTTCTTGAATAGGTGGTTCTGAGTCAGGTCCCTCAGTTGGTTCCACCTCATGTACGACTATGCCGGTTGGGACTTGGCTAGGCAGGGATTCAGGTGACATCACCATAGTAGCCCTAGCGAGAGTTGTTATGCTCTCGGGTTTCTGTGGTAGTGTTGGTCTGGGTGAATCTTCTAGAACTGGAACCTGATGGTTGGATGGTTCAGGGTTGGTC